GAACTCGGGTCCTTGTGCTTGCAAAGCAGGCAGCAAAACCACTGAGCTAAATCCCCGGCCCTGGCTACTATATTTTAAACAGCACAGTTTAATATCATCATTGTGATATCCTTGTCATATTTTTAGGTACTGTGTTGGGGAAAAAAAGTCACAGATTTCTTTCTTACTCTTTCCTTCTGTGCTTGAAAACCAAAACCAGTGAATATATATTTTCATTAAGGCATATATTGTCAGTTGTGCAAATAAAATCAGTATTTAAGTTTATAAATATAAAACAGCTGAAATTTAATTTCATTATCTTCTAAAATTACAAATTTTTGAAATATTTTTATAGTTCATAATTTTCCAATTCATATACTTTATAGTTACAAATTCAATTTAGGTTGACTTTCTTCAGCAAGCCAATAAAGACCTGGAGAAGCATCTTCAAGAGCTTATGGAAACCAAGGAAACAGTGGCAACTGAAGTAGTTAATTTAAGTAACAAAAATGAAAAACTCTGCCAAGAACTAACTGAAATAGACCAGTTAGCACAGCAACTAGAAAGACATAAAGAAGAAGTGCTTGAGACTGCTGATAAAGAACTTGGGGAAGCAAAGGTAATCTGTCTAGTTGTGTGAGTGGTCATTGATTCTTCCAGGACACAATGAAGTTTGGTCCTTTTGATATCCATATCCAGGTTTTTTATTTATTTTTTATATGTGTTGTTTTCCTTTGGCAATTCAAGATTTCTTAAGGGTTGTTTGTACCCTCTAAACAATTGCGTTTGTTGTAGTCTAGAGTTTTTCAAAAGCACACCTATTCTTGGATAGAGCTCCTAACTCTGTCCCATTTTCTTCAAAATTTCTCTTTTAACTCTGCATTGTGAGAGAGCCTATAAAGCTTGCCCTGAAATTTTTTGTTCAAGAATCTTTCAAAAGTGTTTTAAAAGTATATGTTACACATTTGTATGTTAGGAGCTAACATTTTTCATCTTGAAGTTGCAAAGGATAAAATTTCTAGTCTATCATAATTTTTTTTTTTTTGGTACTGGGGATTGAACTTGGGTCCTTGCACTTGCAGGCAGGCGGCAGAACCACTGAGCTAAATCCCTGGCCCCTATCATAAATTTTGACCTCTTAAAACTAATCTCATGATTCTCCTAAATGTAGCCAGTGAAATCTAAATGACTTTCTCTTTTAAATCTTTGCAAAGTTTTATCCTGTTTTAACATATGAGTGTCTTTTTATAATCAGTTTGTCATACCTGAATAGAATAAAAAATATATGAAATGAAAAAATTTCCTGTGACTGTAAGGTTCAAAGTGTTGACATTATCCTCTGAATAATGTTATTACAATAGTGACCAGTGGATCAAAGTGACATATGTACCACAATGTTAGTAAATATTTAAAGAGTAAAATATATTATTGGCAATACATCCCTCAGTGAAATGTAATGGAAGAAAATAGTGTCTTATGTACAGGTTCTAGCCAGCCCCAGCATTTCACATTATCTTTTTATCTGGTGCTCCCAAAGTATATCTTGAAACAGTGTACCACTGTGACATGAGTGAGATGTAAGCCTTGGAATAGGGTAAGAAAGGCAGTTGTGAAAGGGAGAGTAAGGATGAGAAAGTTACATGATATTTAGACCGACCATAAGCAAGTTCTTACGTATGTCATTTGTCTGAAAGTCTATATGCATATTAAGGATCTGGGTATTGATTCCTTGAAATTATGTGTGCATACCATTGCTTTATATAATTCTTGGAAAGGCTTCATGTCAGGAGTAGATATAAAGCAGTTTGGAGCCTGCTGCTCTAAAAGGAGTTGTTTTTAAAGTGTCACCACTACTAACTAGTAGAACAGAAGGAAACTACCTCAATTTAATAAAAATCATTTGTGAAAAGCCCACAGCAAATGTGATCCTTGTAGTTGAAAAACTGAAACTTTTCTTCTAAAACCAAGAGAATACTTTCATCATATCTATTCAACATAATACTAGATGTTCTAGCCAGAAAAATTAGGCAAGAAAAAGAAATGAAAAGCATGCAAATTGCAAGTGAAGAGTAGAATTATCTCTGGTCACAGAATGCATGATCTTAACATGTGGAAATCCTAAAGACTGTACCCCCCAAAAAATAGAACTAGTAAATGAATTCAGCAAAGTTGCAGGTTACAAAATCAACACACAAAAATCAGGTATGATTGTATATGCTAACAATAAAAATCCAAAAAGAAAATTAAGACATAATCTCATTTTCCAAAGCAAAAGAACAAAATAAAGTTCTAAAATTTATATTGAACCTCAAGAAACACTAGACATCTAAAGGAATATGGAGAAAGGATATAATTAATACAGTTTTGCTTATGCATTTGTATTTTTACTTCCATGCCAACACTTATCCCTCTCTCTTTTGACCTCCTTTTGCATCTTCTGGGTTGAGCATCTTCTTGCAATATGCTGAACATGGCCTTTTGTGGCCCACGGACAGTGCTCAGAAATGACAGCTTGGCTTAACAGGAGATTCTTGTTGGGCCATAATATTTTCATTTCGGCATTCTACTCTTTCAGTTGCAATACAGAGGATCTGGATTGGTAAAAGCAAGTGGGGAGCAAGCAAGTAAGATCTAAAATTAGGAAATGATAGTACCATAAAATATATCCTGAAATTCAAGGCCTAATGAAAGTCCTACCAGAATACAGGCAAAAAAGAGATTCTCAAGGTCCCTTTTCTTTCAGATGTTACAAATAGGTCCCTGTAAGCATTCAGTATACCAAACAATTACAGAGAAAATCCTGAGTTTTGTACCTTCACTGAAACTGAGCAGTAGAGCTAAAGCCTCAGATCTTACTAGTAAGAGAAAGCATGAACCACTGGGAGAATTATTACATAGTGGCAGTGGCATAGTGATAAGTATTCTTAGACGTCTAGATGTTTACCTAATAGGCTTTTTATTCCTAGAAAGAGATCAAAAGAAACCTCTGTGAAATGCGGAATCTTGAAGAAACAATGACAAAACTTCAACTGGTAAGTTGATGCCTATTGTAACCATCTATAGAAATGATTCCTGAAAGTATAGCTTTTGATGCCATATTGTAATAATGGCATTTTTAGTAAAATTTTGGTGCTTTATTTTACATAAGTATTTTTATTGAGATATAGTTTACATATCCTATTCACTCTTTTTACAGTGTTTTTAGTAGTCACACAGTCGTGCAACCACTACCATCTAAACCCAGAACATTTTCATCACTTTAAAAAGAAACCTCATTCCCTTTAGCAGCCACTCCCCATTCTCCTCTGCTCCCCTGAAAACCATTCATCTACTTCCAGTTTATAATGTTTGTCTATTCTGACTATTCCATATAAATGAAATCATGCAATGTGTGGCCCCTTGTGTCTGGCTTCTTTGTCTTAGCATGTTTTCAGGGTTCATGTACATTGTAGCATTTATACATAATTCTTTCCTTTTTATAGCTTGTATTCCACTGTATGGATAGGCAGTTTCGTATTTTTATAATTCTTTAATCTTTGATATAGTAGTAGGTTTGCAAGTGAAATTCAAACTTTAAAAACCCCTTAGGAATTTAACATTATTTAAATACTTTATGATTTGTTAATTTACTAATGTTAAAATCAGAAATTGGTAATTGCTTCATATTTTTGCTGATTATTATTAAAAAGAAGCAATCTTCTTTTCTTTTTTTTTTTTTTTTGGTACTGGGAATTGAACTCGGGGCCTTGTGCTTGCAAGGCAGGCGGTGGAACCACTGAGCTAAATCCCCAGCCCCAAGCAGTCCTCTTTTGATAACTTTGGTGTAATGCAAAGCATTTTGCTAAGTCATATTGCTTGTTGTTGTAGCCTTCTAATAAGGAAAACAGTAATCCCAGCAGAAACTTAAATACAGCATTGGGTCCAGCACTAGCAGAAAGAACATCTTGCTGACAGTTTGAAACTGGGTGGTCACCTAGAAGACTGAGGTTTTTTGTTATTGTTTTCAATAGCCTATTAAATTGGACTTTAAGATTAGGAACTAAGACAGATACTAATTTTCATGTGTTTTCATTATGTATACTCTATACAGTCTAGCTGCAATGTTCTGATGACATGAGTCAGTTAAAAAGGAAACCGTATGGTGATAAGCTGGTGGTACATAGTAGGTGCTCAAATACTTGTTGATTTTTGTATGCATAAACACAGTGGCTGCTGTATCTTACCATTCCCCTCCTTTAAACATAAGCCTTAAATTTTTTATTGCTCAAGTACATACTCATTTAGGAAAAAAAGTGGGACATTATGCTAAATAAATAAAAGGAAAGTAAAATCTCATAATTCCACCATTCTCAAAGGAGCACTGTTGCTATTTGGATTTTTATGGAGCTTTTAACCTCCATTGATAATTGCCTCCAGTTGAAACTTTTATTGGATTAATTAAAATGTGTGTACTCATATATATTTGTGTGAATTATTATTATATAAATGTGCTTATAAAAATAGTCTATTTTAAAGCCCAGGGTTGGTGGCACATGCCTGTAATCCCACCTACTCGGAAGTCTGAGGAAGAGGAATCAAAGTTCAAGGCCAGCATGGGCAACTTAGTGAGATTCTGTCTCAAAATAAAAATAAAAAAGGATGAGAATGTGGCTCGGTGGAGTACTTGCCAAGCAAGCATGCTTGAGGCCCTAGGTTCAATCCTTAGCACCATTAAAAAAAAAAAAAATGAAGTGCTGTAACATTTTAGAAAGTTACTAGAAATCTTAATTATAGTATTACAATTTTCAGGAGTTAGACTTATGCCATAAAGAAAAGGAGAGACTGAGTGATGAACTCCTTCTAAAATCAGACCTGGAAACTGTTGTTCATCAGCTTGAACAAGAAAACCAAAGACTTAGCAAAAAAATTGAAAGTTTTGCAGTTACAGGTAAGATATAAAATGTTAATAACTTAAGTGATTGTGATTTGCTCGATTAGTTTTCTTGGTAGATGATCTTTCATTCATTCAATAAATGTGTTGAGTGTTTACTATGAACCAGCAGCCATATTAGACACTATACTTTTAGAGATAGTAGAAATCTTTCTCCCTCAAGGATCTTAAGAGTTCTTTTCTATTCTTGACTGGTTGGTACAGGGAACCTTGCATGAATATTTTACAATACAACTAATTCTTCAAGTCATACTTTGCAGGTAATCCTTTGCAATAGAAGTAGTTCTTAGAAAATACAATTAAAACTAAGATGATGACTGTTCTGAAATAGTACAAAATTAAAGTATAGACTCTTTTAAGGAAATGCAATCCTGTCACATAAAGTCCATGCTTGGCTGTTTGTGTTTGACCACCCACTACCCCTTAGCTCCACAATCCACTCAAATTGATTTCTGTCCTCACCTCATCCACAGAACTGCTCTTGTTAGCTGGGCATTGGGGCTCATGGAACCCTGTATTCCCAACAGCCTGGGAAGCTGAAGCAGAAGGGTTACAAGTTTGAGTCCAGCCTAGACAACTTAGTGACTTAGTACTAATTTTGGGACTGAGTACCCATCTCAAAATTAAAGGGCTGGGGATATAACTTAGTGCAAAGGCCCTGGATTCATTCCCCAGTACCACCACAAACAAACAAAAAAATACAAAAAAAAAACCCCAAACACCTACTCTTGTTAAGGTCGTTATTCAAATCCATTATGCTAACTCTAATGGACATTTTTCATTCATTAGTTTGATTTCTTAGCAATTATCATTAATTGCTCCTTCTTTCTCACTCTCCTACTTCTTACCTCTTTGGTTATTCCTTTTTGGGGTGAATTTCCCAGTTCATCTTCCATCTTGCATTACACACTATTCATTTGTAGCTTTTAGCCTACTTCCGTTAGCAAAATTGATTGTGGCTATGGTTTTTATGCTTGAATCCTTAGCTAGTATTTGCCATATAGTAAATACTAAATACATATCTGGTGAATGATGCAAGAGATGGGAGTGAATCAGAACGCATCATGAAAAATCCTTCCATGCCTGAGAGTTCTAATGAGTATCCATTAAATTAGATTGAACTTTATGAAATTGCCAGTACTGTATTTAGTTACTTGTGACTCATGAAAAGGTGATTTGTATGGTAAAAGCTAATAATTGTGCTTATTTGGAGAAAGACTTGAGTTATTTTGATCTCTTTGTTTATATATGTATATATTATATTAAATTCAAGCTTAATGTTAAATTTGCTCATATTATAATTAGTTGCAGATATTATTTTTTAGTTCATTTTCACATGCCTAGAAAGTACAATGTAAAAATTTATTGTTTCATTTTGTTATACTAAATGGTACTCATACTATGATAAGACAAAACAAGGGGACTTTGTCTTATTACACTTTGTTTCAACTTTAATATTTTGCTTTTTTGTTTCTCTTCTATCAGTATTTACCTGTTTTTGTTATATCTGATATTTAAAATCATGAACTGTTTTGTATTAAAAATGCTACAAAAAAGCTCATGATTTCTAGTAGCATGCTTTCTAAAAGTTACTTACATTATTTATTTGGCTAATTCACATTGTAGATGGAACATTGTTTTATGGTTTAACTACTTTAAATTGCAGAAAGAGAACTTACTTTGGAAGTTGAGAGGATGAGGCTAGAACATGGGATAAAACGTCGAGACAAGTTACCTTCTCGTTTAGATACATTTCTCAAAGGTATAGAAGAAGAACGAGATTATTATAAAAAAGAGCTAGAAAGACTCCAACATATAATACAGAGAAGATCTTGCTCTATAAATTACTGTGCACATGAAAAAATTCCAGTATTTAAAACACCAGAAAAGGTAAGGTCCTTTTGTAAGAATTGATAAGAAAGTATTATGAAACTTTACTGTTTTATTGTATTAAATCTAACCAGTTTATATGTGCTTTTTAAAAGTTCTGATTTTGATTTGTTTTCTTCTGTGACGTGTGCTGCAGGAACTCTGTGTTAATTAGGAGAACTACTTAACAAAAAAGTAACATACTGATTGCTAAAAATTAAGGAAAAGTTGACTAGCTCATTCATGGTTTCTGGAAACCAGAACCCAGGGGTTTATGCTGCTGGACATTTCCTCTCTTTCTAGAATTGTCTTTATGTATCACCTACATTGTTTCTGTGGTAGCAGAATGGCTGTGTCTACGTGGCAGGCTTCATGTCACTCTGGCATTGGTTAGACCAGTCAGAAAGGCATGTCACATTCTACTGACCAGGCACCTTTCCTATTAACTATTTTGTGAGAAATGGTAGAAATTGGAAACAGATGATGTGCAGATTTTTCTATGTGTTACAACTATATTTCCAAGTTGATAGACTAAAGATGTTCACCTTGAGAGTCAGACGTCTTATAGTCCCAGCTGCTTGGGAAGCTGAAGCAGGAAGATTGAAAGTTTGAGGCCCAACTGGGCAACTTAGCAAGACCCCATCTCCAAAAAAAAGAGTGACAGAGATACTTACTTTGTATATATCCTTTTCTTTTTATTCCGCTTGTTCTTTTCTTCCTTCTCCTTCTCCTTTCATCGTCTACTATTTCTGCTCCCGCCACTGCCACTGCCTTCTCCTCCTCCTCCTCTTGTTTTGCTTTGTTTTATGGTGCTGAGGATCAAACCCAGAGCCTTGTGCGTGCTAGGCAAGTAAGTGCTCTGCCCCTCAGCTATACCTGTAGGCCTATATATCATTTGGGTCTCCCATTGCATATATTTTTAAAGTTGATCATGATTCATGAGAAATTAAAATCTTGTTTCTAAGTCTTAATTATTTGCCGTATTTTATAAGCATCATTTGAATTTTTTAGATTTTTTTCTCTTCTTTCTTAACTTTTGGAGCTGTAGAAGTCCTAAAGGCTTACATGGCCCTAATATTGTTGACACACTAGGTAAAACTAGGGAAGTTGGGGGGAAAGTCATAAAAATTCAAAATATCATTTTCTAACATCTTTTTCTGTGTCCATTGTCAAATAGTTTATTGTCATCTGATAGTCTTTGCCTTTTGATTTCATTGGTTAATGGCTAAAATTTGCTTTATAGTTGTTAAACACCATGCTGTTACCTATTATAAGCAAAATAAACTGTGAGAAAACACAGTGCAAGTTAGTTTATGTGTTACCGAGTTGGTTTTTTTTTTTGGTACCGGGGATCGAACTCGGGTCCTTGTGCTTGCACAGCAGGCAGCGAAACCACTGAGCTAAATCCCCAGGCCCCTGAGTTGTTCTTATGTTTTATATATTCTTAGGACTTAGGGAAAATAAGTTGAGTTGATTGTTTTCATTATGTAAGAGAGTCTCCCACAAAATTGTTGATCAGTTTAATTAAGAGCATTGAATAGATGAAAATCTCAAAGCTTTTGCCCTAAATATTTGATTCAGTTGCTTGTTATAGATTCACAACAGAAAGGCAAGTGAGAGATATTGGTTAGATACGGGTGCAATTAGGAGACATCTTTTCTCCCCATCAACTTACTTTCTTGAAATGTTACAGTACCAGGCATAGACAAAGAATTCATTTTCTGGAGTTCAACAAGTCAAGGAGTTTAGAATATTTTTAGAACCCCAAGAATAAGTTGCAGGCATGGTGGGAAATAGTGGATAAGTACATGAGTGAAAAGGATGTGATGTAAAACAATTGTGAGTTCTGGAAACTAAGAAATACATTACCTACCTAAAATTAGGCATTTTAAACACATGAGGCGGACTTTGTGAATAAACAACAAAGACTTCTCTCAAGCTGAATTTGGTACTGGCTTTGAGTCTTCAACCTATTTTATGGCAGATTGTTATGCACAGCTTCTTGGAATTGTAATAACTCAGAAAAACCTGCCACCACCCCTACTCCTATATTGGGGATCAACTCAGGAACTTGCGCTTGCGAGGTAGGCTCGGTGCCACTAAGCTAAATCCCTGTCCCAGAAAAAAACTGGCATTTTTATTTTATTTTATTTTATTTTGGTACCAGGGATCGAACTCTGGACCTTGTGCTTTCAAGGCAGGTGCTGGAACCACTGAGCTAAATCCCCGGCCCCAAACTAGCATCTTTAATGTCAGGAATCTTTATCAATAAAATCTTGTTGATTCACATCTGTGTTGGGAGGACCCTATCTCCTTTTCCCATATACCCACTGTGGTTCCCACTGTGAGTTTTGAGGATAGTGAAGTAGAAAGTGCTTTGTAGTTGTGGGCCTTATACAAGTTCAGTTCTACAAACAGACTTTGTAACCTAGGAGAAACTGCCTAACTTTGTGTAAGCCTGTTTCATCATTTGCAAAGGGAGAAAGTATGTAGCTATAACTTACTTGTGAAGATTAAATGAGATAATTTGTATAAAGGTGCAGTAAAAGGGTTCCTAGTAAATGGTTTATTTCATTATTTTCTGACTGAAATCAAATTCAGTCTAATGCTGAGTGCTATGACTGAGTCATGGAATACTAAGAGAAGATAGTTCCTGTCCTTGTCGCCTTCAGCACTGTATATACATATGCTTATGCTTGTGTTTTGGGAATAATGGAATGGTGAAGGGGAGTTAAACATTATACATTAACATTGATATAAATATCTATACAAGATATATTTAGAGAAGAATTAAGAGTTTTTGTTTAAGTAGGTTGGTCAGCCAATAAATGTTCGGGAAACTAGTGGTTTACTAAGTATCACACTGGGCACTGAATGTTTAGCGAACTTTTAAATCTCATTTATGATAAGTGTTAATGAAAAATGTACAGGAATGGTTCAGAAGACTGAAAGAATGCAGAAGACCTAAATTAGATTGCAGAATCTGGAAAGATTTTTTGCAGAAAGTGACATTTAAACTGAAACTTAAAAAGTAATGAAGATATTTCAAAGTATCAGTTATTAGTTATTAATCCTTTTAGTCCTTATTTACACTATCAGTTTCTCACACTAGAGAAACCATTCGGTATTTACACATGTGTGTCTTATTTATTTCACTTAAGAGTATGGCCTCAATATGCATCCATTTAGCTATAAATGACTCTAGTTTCTC